TGTTTATATACCGAAGAGCCAGTGTTTGTCCGTAGACACTTTCCATGGTCACATGGCCAGCATGACTAGACACAGAACACTGTTACCTTCCCACCGAGGTGGTATCTATTCATCTACTCGCATTTGCATGCTTTCAAACTGCTAGGGTGACAGTAGCTGGGACAAGTCATGGAAACTCACCCCATCATGCAGATTCTAACTGCTGACCTTTCGATCAACAGACCAGTGGTTCAGTGGTTGAACCTGCAGCGTTGCCTGTATCCCTAGTAGACACTTAAGTTTCATTAATTCAAGTGGGTTTACTGTATAGGAATAGAAGTGTTCAGTAGTTCAAATATTTTAACAGGTATGCTTGGGGAAAATGTGACATAATTCAGTCCCTTGTAAATCTTTACATGGACTTATTGGGTTGGAAAAAACATTCCACTGGCCCTCAGTTTGGACCAGTGTGCATTTTAAAATAGCTCTCCTCCTTTTGAGGTCATTCTTCTTATTATTGTAGTGTTCACATACTCAAAGATATGCTGTCTACAATGGGTTTAGAAAGGGCAAAAGCTGTTTGCGCCAGTGCAACTTGCCCTGTGCTAGTTAATCACAGATCTGCTGGCACAACTGGGTCTGCCAGCACAACTGCTGGGCTAGCTGAGACCAACTTGCAAAAAAAGCCAAGAGACAGAGAAAGATGAAGAGCAGGGGAGGAGCTGAATGTCACTGGATCCAAACCCTTTTCAGCTCAGTCTTTTATAGCAGCTTATTTCAGCACCAAATGAGACTAGGGTCAGACTAGTCTTGAGTAAATTCCGTAAACTGGGTGGTGGTGGTGGTGGTTTCAGCACAGTCTCAGATGGCTTAGAGTCAGCTCAAGCAGCCCTTAGCCATCCTGACTAGAGATGGGGACGAACCGCCAAAATGGTGGTTTGTCTAGGTTCGTGGGTTCATGGCTTGTCAGCCTTGATGCCCTACAACTCACACGTTTTCCTGAATCAAGGAATCACAAATTAATGTGTTGGTTTGTCTGGTCTTTTTTTATATAGACAGCTTGTGGGGTCTTAAAAAAAAAAACAAAGCTGAGGCTCCATCTCCACAGCCTGCCCCCACACCCCCTTCCCACTGCCCCAGTGCTTCTTTTGTTCTGCTGCCTCCTTCTGTTCTGCTGCTGCCTCTGCTGGAACAGAAGCTAGGCTGCCGGAATTGCAGTTTCTGTTCGAGCAGCTTAGCTTTTATTCCATTGCAAACAGTAGCGGGAAGGGGGGGGGCTTCCCTTTAGACAAGCCTGACTGAAGCAGTCTCCCTGCTGTTTGCAAAGAGAGTGAGGGGTGGAATCCCTTGGGTCAGGCTTCCTCTGTCTTTCTACACCACACAAGCATAGAAAAACAGGGGAAGTCTGACCAAAGTGATCTTCCCCACTGCTGTTTGCAAAGACAATGGGAGGGGAAATTCCTTTGGTCAGGCTTGCCCTATCTATGCTGCAGGGGCATAGAAAGACAAGGGAAGCCTGACTGAAGCAATCCCCCCCCCCGCTGTGTTTGTAAATAGCAGGGAGGGATTCCCTTTGGGCAGGTTTGCTCAATCTGCCCAAAGGGAAACCCCTCCTCTGTCTATGCCCAGAGGAACATATGATCTGTGGGGGCATAAACAGAGAGAGAAAGACAAGGGGACAAGTATAGAAGGGTTATATTTGATTTGTATTCATCAGGATCTCTGGACCTCACAAATACAAAGCAACAAATATCTGATGAATTAGCACTATTCACTGAATACTGCAGTTCATTTTTATATTCGTCCCCATGTCTCATCCTGATTAGTAAGAATTGTGTTCTTACAACCTGATGAAATATATGGAATATGTTAGTCATGAGTAATTTAAGTCTCAATGATTTCAGGTGGTCTCCTCAGAGTATGACTAAATTTGGATTCAACCCATACTTTTTAAACATTGAAGCAGGACATTCATTCCAGTAGAAGTACTTAAATGTGTGATGGCTTAAAACAAAACAAAACTGGAAACTCTTCCAGTTCCAAAAACTTAAACTCAAATACATTTGATTCAGGTTGTTTATAATATAAAAGAGCTGGTTTTTTTAGATTGAAGGAAAGACTTTGATATAAGCAGCTGTCAGTGAGATAATTTGCTTTCTTGCTGTATTAGAAGTGAACATTTTATTAGGAAAAACTGCATCATGCCTTTCATTAGAAGGAGCACAAAGGAGATATCCCACACTGAATGTATGACTCAAGAAGTTTAATAATGCAAACCATCTGGATGGAGAGGGAGCTGTTTAAAACTTGAACAAAATTGTATTTCTTTCCCCCCCCTAAAGAAATGGGTGGATATTTGTTGAGGTAAGAGGCAGATGATCTGTGATGATTGTCTCCTTTTGAAAAGAAACAGCGTTAAGATCACTACTTTTTTTTGTTTTGTTTTAAGTTCACAAGTGTTAAAAATCTAAATTTTCTTAGCCATGTTGGTGGTAAAGCAATGTTCAATGACATCAAAATGGTCCTGGTAAAGTCTTGTTACAAGTTAGGAAAAGTCAGCTGAAACAAGTCTAGGTATCTGACCTGATGGCTGAAAATATATCAACTTCTCAGCTAGCTGAATATAATTGGGAACCTTGGAATGAATGTTGGGTTGTTTACTTGTTATGCCTAATTGAAATCTGGTCCTTCTTATGCTTAAAAATATGTTCTGATTCAGAAAGTATGGGAGTTAAAACCATATCAGGCACAAAGTGTGAACTGCTTTGGTTTGTCAAATCAATTTTTTTCTTTGAAAAATGAGAACTCGCTTGCATAAGTAGCAGTAAGACAAGTCTTAAACAATGGTAAACTCCAAAAAAAATATTTTTTTTTTGAAAAATGAGAACCCGCGTGCATAAGTAGCAATAAGACAAGTCTTAAACAATGGTAAACTCCATTTTCTATGCAACAGAGTCTTGTTGCTGCATTTATCTGTTCCATATGATACATTTCTTAAATGGGCAATACAGGCGAGTTTGAAAGCACAGCAGTAAAAAGAGATCAGTCAGATGCCCTAAGCAGAATTTGTGATGTCACAGGTGCAGTCGTTTTTGGTATCATAGAGGTAGAGCAGTCTAGGATTAGCAGAGGAGGTAGAACTGCTTCTGGACTAGCTGATAGGAACTGGTTGTGAGGGGCCCAATAACTGGTTAAAGCCTGGGTAATCAGGTGACATGGTAACTCTAGCTAGGAGCCAATATTACTGCTAGGATTTGTATTCCTGCTAGGATTTGTGGCCAGACACAGTTTACAAAACATGATCTGTGAGGATTTTTTGAGGAGCTATACTGATGCTGGACTTGTAGGAGGCTCACATTCAGAGATCCCCCCCCCCCTTTGATCCTGCATCTTGCAGCCAGGAGTTATGGCACAAGAAGGCTGACAAGTCAAGAAGCTGGCATTCTTGCCTTGCTCAGGGGGTTATGTGTGTACTTTTCCTTAAAACTGTGGGTCCAGGTGCCTCGGTACTGGTGGTTGTGTAGGTGTGCATGTGTGTCTCTTTGTTTATCTGTCTTTACTCTACTTGGTGCAGGATCAAACTCTTGCTTGCATAATAGAACTTGGTTGATGATGGAACTCTGTCACATCCTGCGGGAGCAGCAGAGCAGGGACATTGGCTGAAATTCTGCTGCTCAGAGTAGTAAGTCACACAAGAGTAGACCCATGGAATCAGCAAGAAGTCCACACCTCTATAAATTCCATTGGTTCAGATGGGCCTACTCTAGTGTGACTTACTCTGCTAAGCAACAGAAATTCAACCACTGGGTATTAGGAGCTTTAAGCAAGCATTTCATTCCTCAGCTGTGGTGTTAGGAACCAACCAGACTTCTCTCATGCTGCTGTCATAGAGTGCAGAAGAAGGTCATGCTGCCTTTAATCATCAGTAAAGCCAAATTATTTATAATCCAAAAATGAAACACAAGTGAGCAACGTCTGCTGAAGTATAGGATTGCCACATAGTCTTCCAGATACTTGAAATAGTATTTCACTTCACTGGTTTTCACTCAGCAAAACTCCCAGTTCCTTTTAGTCAAGGCAGTACTTTTGGGTTGTGGCACCTTGTGTGACCCCCCACTCCCCAGGGCCATACATCATATGAATGGTCGGGAAGAGTCACAAAACCTTCGGCTGGGGATACACACTTCCCTTGCACAGCTCTGCTATACCCATATTGGCTGTTAGCATGAATAATGTTTGGACAGAGCTTACATCAATCCTAAGGGGGGGGGAGGAGGCCAGACACAGTTTTTTTCCATGTGAAAATAAGGAGGCTGTCTGGGGGTGGTGGGGGTGACCAGAAAGAAACATATTATTCCACTCCGTCCTGCTGTGCTTTGAGCAATGTCTAATAATATTACACGATTAAAACAGAAAAGGTTTGAATTAAGATATAAAAGTGGAATCAACTGGCCTGCAATGAATTTTAGGGCAGCATGAATTCTAGCCAGTTCATAGAAGAATAGGGCCATGGTAGACAGGGCGAGCCATATCTTTAGGCAATGTAAGGTGGTGATCCCAGGTACTGTAGGGTTGTTGTGCAGCCTGCATGCTCCAACTTGTATCCAAACTAATTAAACTTTTTAAAAATGCACTCATGGCCAAATGATTAAAAAAATTTTAAAAAACCACACTCAACAAAACAAAGCTAAGCTAAACAAAACAAAACAAAACATTTTAATATTATGATTCTGATTATATTAACAGCCCTGTCCAGCAGGTGAGTTAAATTGCATTTTTCCCCCTTTGCTCCTGAAGTAAATGAGGCTAAACCAGCTCAGTTATAATCAATATCTTGAAAGGTACATAAGTAAACCATTTTTGATTGCTCCTGTTACACATTTAGCTCAGTGCAGGATAAGGGCAATATAGTCAGTATTACTTTCTATGCAATTTGGAGTTACTAGCATGGTAGCATGAAGTTTTTTTAAATCACTATTATCAATCTTTCTAATTCTTTTTCTAATTATGTTTTTCCCTAGCTAAGGAGAATGTATCTGATTCTTCATCTGTTGAACTGAATATACCTTTGGAAAGTGGATCTGCAAATTTATTAACAAGATTAAAGGTAACACCTTCTGAAGCAGCACTTCATCAAAAAATCTCTTCAGTCACACCAGAAGTGACTAGAACAAAACAAGAAGAGAAGGTACCAAAAATCATCAGTTTATCTACCATTCTACCTCAGACCATTCCTGATTTTTCTGATTCATCAGAAGAGAGTGAATCAGATACTGTGTCCAGTGACTTAGTAGGGATCATACCTACACAGGATGTTTATGACATCAGCAAAGGAAGTTCAGAGAGTCAGACTGAACAAATAGAGGTTGCGCCAATAAGAACTTCTGTAGATGCTCTACTAAGGAATAACTTGACTGAACATGTAGAAAGAGGAACTTCTGTTACACTAACAAAGGAAGAAACACACCGTGGCATCCAGCCAACAAAAACCTCAATGGAAGCAAAAAGTGACATAAAACTCACAACTGTTGTCATTCCCAAAAAGCTGCTTGAGGAGCACCATGAATCTATGGAAGAAGATGATGATGGGGCTGTTGTGCCTGAGAAGACTCTGGAGACCTCTACCATCATTTCAGAGGTAGATGTAGTTAAAGTGTCAAAGACATTCATAGATGAGAATGCTACAAGTACATCAGGTGATGTAGTAACACCATTTGAAAGCAAAACACCATCAACTATAGAATTTTTGAAGAGCTCTGAAGCACCAGTGTTTACAGTAACCGATAGGACTAAAGAGGCACAATCTGCTTCAACTGAATCAAAACAGAAAGAAGAAGATAAATTGACACCTGCTGATTTAGATGTCAGAGTCATTCCAACATTATCATTTGAAAGGAGCACACTATCTGTTTCTTCTGAGTCAAGTTCTCTGGAATTACCAATGGTCACATCCATTATCACAAAAAAGCATAATGCCACATCTCTGCTTAGCAAAGGAGATAAGGCACCACAACATCATGGTGGAACAACACCTACATCAGAGGTGCAACAGGAGAAGATGGAAGAGGAAGTACAAAAGAAACATGATTTGTCTTTTGAAGGCAGTACTCCTGAGCAGCAACCAGATTTAGGAATTCCCAGTCAAATAACTAGTGTTTCACCAGCAGCAGACAGTGAAGACACAGCAGGTATGGAATTGGTTGTGTTTACAGATACATCAACGATGGCAACTTCTCTTGTAACATCCAAGAAAGAATCTGGCTTTTCTCTAGTATCTGAAATCTCAGAAGATAAAATTACTAAAGATATGGCAACTGTTAGTATTCATACAAGTGTCACAGAAACAATGCCAAAAATTACAACAGTTATTCTAGAGGAACCCAGTACTAGAGAACAAGCTGTGGAACAATTGGTTACTTTCCCAGAATCTGTAACAGTAGTTTCAAAGCTGTCTTTGTCACCCGAATATGAAGGATCTGCATACGAAGAAAAATTTACAACTGCACAGGCTGTGAAAACAACCGTTTATGAAACATTCACAAAGTCTGAACCAGCTCTGGGAAAAGATGCTGTCACTGAACAAAAGCTAAAGCCTACCGCTATTCCTCCCACAAAGCCAAGCAGAGAAACTGAACATGAAGCACCCACAATCCAAGTCATGGCGCCATTTTCGACCCAAGATATTGCTCCTGACACTGAAAAATCTACTGATGTGGGGAAAGTAAAGATTCTCACAACGCATGGCCCAGAAGGTTCAGGAACAACAGAAGACACCATAAGAACAGAACCTATTTTATTTTCAGCAATTGTAACAAGTAAACCCATGGTGGTGAATGGCATAGTCACAACTACCATTGCTGCAGTAGACAAAATTCCGTCCACTTCAGCATCCAAACCTTTAGCTACCAAAACACAGCCACCTTTAATTTATAGGGACCCCGATGAGGATACAAGCATAGATGTTCTAGTAATTGATGAATCTGTTTCTCCTATTAAAACCACTACTGATGATGATTTTACAGGCAAGACGGTAGAACCAGAAATTGATACGGAATACTTTACATCATCAAGTGTTACTGCAGTAGCAGAGCCCACAGGACCACCAACAGAGATTTTAGAATCTCAGGAAGAAGCTCCTTCCACTTCAGATGCTGACGTAGACTTTGAAAGCAGAGATGATGTAAAAGTGCTTGTTGTTGCCGTCTCAGGCAATGATACAGGTAAGATTCATTTATTCTTAGGTGAGATGCTGGACCACCGTGGACATTTGACAAAAGCATGTATTCTAAAAATATGTCAGAAATATTCTTTGATTCTTTTAGTGTGGAACTACCTTACTTTTTACCTTTGTATGTTGGAAACGATTAGAGATCAGTTATATTTATAGGTAATGTAGATATGTAAATTATAAGTATTGTCAGATAGATGTGAATGCAAACGAACCATAATTTATGAGATCTTTCATTAAAAATTGATATCAGCAAATCATTGCATTGACATCCATTATCTGTGGAATGAGGCATTCTAATTTCATGGCTTCCACACCATGCATTACTACTCCTGAGTGTAGCATTGCAGTGTGTTAACACTCCATTGGTCTACAGCTATTAACAATGGCATTTGTAGTGGTTTCAGCTAAACAATGTGGAGGCTCATTCTGCTTACACCAAAGGTGCTATTATCAAATCTTGGGGTGTTGGTGGTGGTAATATCAATATTGTATGGACACTGGCAGACTCTAATAGGAGAGGCATCAAGACAGTCGTCATCAAGATAATGTGTTCTATGATCATTTATTTTTTGTTAAGAGAATAGTGTGTCAAATTAAGAGAGATATGACGAAAACTATACGTTTTTAACTTTATTAGTACTCTTGGTTTATTTTTTTTGAGAATCCTGTAGGAATTGTGCCACATATAGTGACAACTGCGTAAGCATTATGCACAATCATGCTGCCAGTCTGTCATGTGCTCGTACATTCCTGAATTGCATACTCATTTGGGTGCCCAGACATATGATAAACATTATAAAAAGATGAACATGCTTGCATGCATTCATTTATGCATATGGCATTTTGCGATAGCATTTTGGCGTTTTAGAGAAAGTTGCTCCTTGAATTTGTGCTGCATATAGCTATTAATATATTGAACATTCTTTATTCTTTTCCTATTGTTCTTCCATGAACAGGATAACTGTTGTATCTAGTCTTCCTATTAATGAATGAATATGGGTAGATTGACTTAACTGAGGATTATTAAGATCAATAATATCAGGCAAAATCCAAAGAAGCAAAACGAACAAAACAAAAGACAAAATTAAAAAAATGACAAAAACATGTGGTACCTTAAAGACTGACTATTATATTTTAATGTGAGCTTTCATGGACACATCCACTTCATCAGACATATGGGAACAGAATGAAATGCTGGAAGAAATATCAGTTTCACAAAAAGAAAATTTTAAATATTCATTCACTGTTGAAGTCTTAAGTGTGAGGTACATCTACATGCAGTGATTTATGGCTTTCTTGTGAACATTCCTGCAGAGTGTAATTTATGTGAAAGTCTGAATGCTAGAAAAAAGTAGACCCTAGACTCACAATACTAGTTCTTCCATTGCTTTTAGATTGACAAAATCCTATTCTCACTGCTCGTTACTGATTCCTGACTTCTTTCTTAGTTTTATGGATCTAATTAAAAATAAATGGTTAACATTCTGCATTGTGGCTAACAGTAATAAGAGTCTAGTAGCAATTCGCTACCTAATATAATAGTGAGTAATTTCCCTTCTATTACTGTGTGGGAAATATTGGATACATTTTCCTGTTTGTAATCTTAGTTCTTCAAATTCTAACAATGACAGTTGATCAAATGTTTCCAACACAGTAGCATGAAAAAATTACTAACTGCTACAGTGCTGTAAGTGCTGTAGGTGAAATTAGGCAAGCTGACTTGATGGCCTTTATAAAACAATGACAAAATGTATGCTAAATTTCTTCTCCCATGTACAATAGATATTATTTAATTATTTACACTAATAAATTACTTACACTAATAATTTTTCTGAACAAATGCAGCTACAGAAGTAACACAAAACAATTTCACAATATATACTGGAAAAGTGTGCCAGTTTTGAGACTACTATCTCTTCATTTCTTGTCCGATGAAAATATAGAGATATTGAAAGCTAACACACTTTTTTTGTGCTTTTTTGGTCAACCTATTCAAGAACTTTCTCTAATTTGGATTTTGAAGTGTATGTTTATGTGTGAGTACACACAATCTTGTAACTTAAGAGATATTGTCACATCTTGTGTGCCACATCTTATGTGCACAGGGTGTTGTTTTCTACTATGTGACTTTCAAAGCATGTTTACACAGGTGAGTGTACCATGTTCTTGTGGAAATACATCTCTGAATCTTCCTGAATAGCCAGGCGTTCCTTGGCTCCCTTTTGGAATGCATCATCCCATTCATTCGTCCCACATAAAGTATTTCCAGCCCCCTCATTGAACTAAAGATACAGTAATTCCTCTCATGAATTTGTTTGTTTCCCACATTGCTGGTGAGCCAGTAATGTGGACTTTATGTTCCTTTTGGTTCAGAACAGAACATGGCCTTCTGTTCTCAATTTCCCCCTCTTTATACTTCAGGCTCATATATCCTCTCATTTCCTTCTGTGCACTGTCTGTTTCTTTTATTTCTGTCATTCCACACACCTCCTGTCATAAATTAACACTCTTTCTATATTCATATTAAGTGGCATATCACCTGAAGATTCTAGCCCTTTCATAGTCATTAATTGGATCAGTAACCACTTTCTGGGTCCTCTCCATCATATTCTTCTCAAGTGGACACCAGTTTGTTTCTCAAGACAAGGTATTAATTGTCAAGGCATATATGAGCACAGTACCTATTGTTAGACTTGGAATTTATTTTCCTCAATCAATTTGCAGCAATTACATCATTAATTACAGCCAGTCGGATCTTTCCTCTGAGTTGGCCTCATTGGCCAAATGGATGTCACTCAGGAATGTACCACATACTCCAAGTTCAGTCGTGAAGATGCAGAGTGAGTACAAAGAACTAACACATATGTATGCACCATCAGTCAGTTCAACCTTTCCCACCAACAGCTGGAAGCAGGAAGAGAGCATAATAAAGATTTATATCACCATATTGGAATGTTCTTGATTATAGTATGTATAAGAGAGTAGGTATACACCACTGGTTCTTAACCTTGGGTTACTCAGGAGTTTTGGACTGCAACTCCCAGAAGCCTGCACCACCAACTGTGCTGGCTGGGGTTTCTGGGAGTTGCAGTTCAAAAACATCCGAGTAACAAAGGTTAAGAACCACTGGTATACACTGTCCTCATTTTAACTTCCTGATTCTTGAAACCGTACCTTGTACCAGATAACAAAAGCATGGTATATTTGTGGTGTTTACAAAAATAGGACTCTTTAAGAACAAAAGGGGTTCTGGGAGACTAGCATACCTTACGGCTGTTAAGTGTGTCATAGATTTGTTGTGCTTTGTAGGTTTGAGGCTTCTTGGGAGGTGTTCTTTGGGAAACAAATTGCAAAGAATCTGTCTCAAAACTATTTTGGACTAAATCAGATTGTTAGTCCTAATGAAAGTAGATACACTGAATCAATGAGATTTATGTGAGTGTTGACTTAACCACTTCTGTGCATCAACTGGGTCTACTCTAGCTGGAATTAATATTTGCATTTACCCCAGAGAAACTTAACATAGGCTCTTTCTAGTGAATTTTGGAATATTCCAGTACATTCAGTTCACTGTTTGCTTTGACTTCCACCACTGTCTTAGAAAGAAGAATTATTTTTTGTTAAAAGGGCCATGGTGTGCATACTATTTTAAACTCTTCCTTTAAAAAAAAATTGCCCCTTTAACACACCTCCCTTGAAAATTGACAAAATGATTTGCCTGTTTCCCCTTTTGCCACCTGTATTTGATTCCTGAACTGGGGGATCATTTCACTCTTGCCTGATGGTGTTTCTGTGTGCTTGCACGGATGTATGCCTTATTCATAAATGAAAGGAACATTCCGTGACTCTGTCCTCAGATTCTGTATATGATCCCTTGGGATTTATATGATTACTTTCCTAAATTCCATGTCATTTCAGATTCATGGTGGGTTGATATATGACCCACAGAGATGTGTTATATAACATATACTCCTATGCTGCATTGTGGAGCCTTTTTAAAAATAGGACATGAAATCAGATACAGTACTTGCCTTTACTTCTTCAGACCTTATATCATTTAAAATACTGTTTATGACAAAAAATAATTTGTAGTTGTAGACTTCATTTATGGAACTAAGGCACTGATTGAGTTCTGACTGAAGATCAAGCTCATTTTGTCTTATCTTGGCAGCTTCACAAAATGTTGATAAGATGGAGAATGCAACTGAGCAGATAACAACGATTACAGATCTGTAAGAGTGCAGTGGTTTTGCATGAGAACGTTTTTTTCTACAGGCAACTCATGTAGCTCTCAAGAATGAAACTGAGGCAGGTGTACAAGTTAATGAAGAACATAAAGCACACTTACTGTTGGTCATGAGGAGGTCTACAACAGGTGTGAAAATTAATGAGGAAAAATATGTGAGCAAGAGGAGACATCTTTTAAAGGTGTTTCTCATAAAAAGGCAACCATGAGCATGACTACTACCTTTGAGCACCTTTGATGCTCTAATTTCTCACTGTGGGGCTCTATATTTTTGCCTTTGGAGTATTGCTTAGTAATAATATAAACAATTCTTTCTCCCAGAGTGGAACACTGCCACCTTTATATAAGGTATTAGTCTTGCTTTTGTGTGGAGTGTGGGGGTTGGAAATCAGGCATCATTTATCTTGCAATGGCTTGAAAGGGGCAGCCATGGGGGATTTTTTTATGTGAGAGCAAGGTGGGAGTAAACTAGCTAAAGAAAAATGAACTTTTTTTCAGCTTATAAAGATTTTATGAGCTGCCAAATACTGGGGATTGGGGTGAGGCTCTTGTTTAACAACAGTTGTGGGGATACTGAGAACACAACTTCTGTCTGTCTCAAGAATAATTTGCTGACCTGCATCTTATGGAGGCATTTAGAAGTATTTATTTAGCATCCCTGGAAGTGGTACCGTGTTTCCCCGAAAATAAGACAGGGTATTATATTAATTTTTGCTCCAAAAATGCATTAGGGCTTATTTTCA